CATCGGACATGAATTTGAGAAACAAATGAAATGACCAAGAAATTCATCAGCATTATGTTTTTTTTTACATTTGGAAACAGCTTTTGCAAGACCATTTTGTGTCCTGCTTACTTAAATATGATTACCAGTTTATAGAAAAAGTAAATAGGATGGGTGGGTCATTAAAATATTGGATTAGCTATTAAAAAAAAAAGAAAATGAACTAGGGGATGGGGAAGGGAGGAAGAGAGAAGAAAATGTGCAACAATGAATGAATGCAAATCAACATTTTTGTAAACTTTCGATAACATCACAATTAAAAAAAGAAAACCTTACGGATCATGACAGTCTGATCCACAACCAAGCCTGGGGATGGCCCAGGACTAGGGAGCACTGCTTTCTGTTGTTCTTGATGTTGCTCTGAGTTGAGAGTGGACTGGGCAGCAGCTAACAATCACCTCCACCACCACGCTGAAATATGGGTGGTGGAAGGCAGCTGGAAGGACAGAAACCCAGCATTACCTGTAGCAGCTTTATGGGATCCTGCTCCTGGCCGATACCCCAGACCCTGTGGGCAACATCATCCATGGCGGCGACGTGCTCCTCGGAAGACTGAATCTGCTGCCTGTACGCCTGCAGGGTAAACTGCATGTTTTTATCGATGTATTTCTTGGCCAGCACTTCCTCTTCATCAAGTAATAATCTGAGTTCCGTGAATCTCTCCGCCAGCCAGGTTTTACTTGACTCTGCATGAGCCTGAAAAGAAAGCCAGTTACAGATGAAGTGACTATCAGTTGAGAAAATCCACAAGAACCTACACAAAAATAAGGTATGATATTAAAAGTCAATTTAGTAAGGCGGGCAGCCAGATATAAGATCAACTGATAAAAATCAAAGCTTTCCTAAGTATCAGTTATAACCAGCTGGAAAATGCATGGAGGGTGAAAAAAAAAGACCTTTTGAAAGCAGGGGAAAAAAAAAGAACTCCAAGCAAAATAGCAACAACAATTCAAATAAAAAAAATATCATTTATGAGACATTGCACATTTGATGATATTAAGGAACATTATGGTTAATTTTATTAGATGCAATAATGACATTATTGTTAAGTATTTTAAAGAATGGGTCCTTGTCTTTCAGAGTTAATACACTGAAATGTTAATGGCTTAAATGATTATTTCTGAGATTTGTTTCAAAAAGCATACACATGCTGGAGGTTTTTCACAAGCTAAAATAAATTTCAGACTGATTAAAAAACTGCATATTATTAAAAATAAACTCCCTTAAGAATTAATCTGTTGAAGTGAAATAAAAAAATACATTTTAAAAATAAATTTTGGGAGTAAGATGAGACCCAGACAAAAAATTTAAAAAAGATGCTAGATTTGACCATGTTCTTTGTTGTTGTTATGTGCCGTCGAGTCGTTTGCGACTCATAGCGACCCTATGCACAACAGCCCTAAACCCTGCTCTATCCTGCGCCAACCACACTGC